CCCAGTGCTGGAAAGACCCGTATTTGCAGGAATGGGATTCTCTCTTGTGGGTGTGGGTTATAGCCACAGTGCTTCCCTGCACATTGTGAATGCAAGTTTCCATCTTGCCACAGACTCATAGGTAGCAGGCCCAATCACCACATCAGCCACCAAGAGAAGACAGGGCCACTTTGGGCCGTGGATGTGCACAGTGTGCTGTTCTGTAGAAGGATGAGTAGCTACACATACACACCAGCGTCAGCTTCAGGGCCACGTTGTACTGACTTGTTGAGCACACCATTTGAATGAGACCCAGTTTGTGAACTTCCCTTATGAAAGAGAAGTATTTAGGGGTGATTATTTATAGCAAGAAGGAATTATTTTACATCCTATGGCACTTTTAAGATATTTTCTTATCAGAACATTTATATGGTGGGCTGGGTGAAATAGAAACTTAGTAAAAGTATTAGTTCTTATTCCAAGTGGAACATAAATAGGACTTGAAGATAAAGCACCTCTGAAATGACAATTTTAACTCACCTTTTTCGGGTGGGCAGGAACCTAACTCACTTTTTAAAAATGGACATTTTCAGGCAAATTTTTGGGGACATAGCAATTGAATAAAATGAGTAACAGCTATGCTTTGGAAGTGAACAATGAATAATCATGTTTGACTTTTGTGGTAATGGTTTTAAAAATTACCTTATGATATTAATTACATTTCCTTTTTGAAAACAGGTTTACTTTGGGTGGCACACCTTCTGTTTAATAAGTCATTAGGAAAATTCAATTTAATGTTATAAAGGTTGGTTTTTGCTTGTGAGAACTTGAATTCTTAATTTTGATATTGGTGCAGTTTTACTAAAAGTTTAGTTTTAGGTATTTCAGAAATGTTTGGACATGTACCTAGAGAACACTTACGCACTGTGAAATTATTCCTAGTGACTCAGTGTTACAGCCTTAGTAAGATTCAGTACAGAAAACATAAGCTTGATTTCATGAGAACCAGGGAACCAGTATTATCCAGAAGGTAAACTTTATTTCTTTCTGGCCAGCCTAGAATCCCCCACTACAGATAGAGGGGTTGGGAGGCCGGAGAGCAGGAAGTGGGAGGCAAAGAAGGCAGCCTTGAACAATTCTATTAATTTAAAAAACGTACTATCAGGTAAGTAAGACAAAAACAAACAAACAAACAAAAAACCCAGAATGAGGTCCAAGCCATTGCCTAATTAGAATGTAGAGGAGTGAATTTTTTAAGGTTGGATTTTGATAACCAAAGAAAGTACTAGATTGAACTCTGGTGTCCAGGCACCTTCTGTACCAAAGCCTGTGCTCATGAAGACTCGTGCATAGTCTATATGAAACTCATCCAGTGGCCATTAGTTATTGTCTGCAAATATTCCAGTGTGCTTCTCCAGGCTTCTTGTCCCATGGCATTTGGATTTAGCCCATGAGGAGGATGTAACATTGGATTTTACAGTAATAGCTTACAAGCCTCTGACACAGAAGTTCAATTCCATCTTTCATATATGTGCAAATTAAAGCCCAGAGGGGCAAGTTCATAAAACTACTCATGGCAAAGCTTGGACTAGAATTCAAGGCTTTTGCTTGCCTGGCCAGCCAGCATTGCTCCTGCTGCAGGACTTGCTTCAGTAAGAGTCTGCTTCTTGAGTTGAATCTCAGTAGGACAGAGAGATGGTTAAGTCATGGTTGCTTTCTACAGTGCGTTTAGATCTTACCTTCCCAGCTTAGATGGGATCTGCAGGAACCTTCCGTTAACAGCAGCAATGACAGGTGGAAAAAATAAGATGAATTATTCCTGTTCTCCCATCCTAGGCTCGTAAGCAAGTGAATTCTGCATCACCTCCTATCTGTTACTGCTTCCCCAAGCAGGTTGAAGGGGTACAGACAGTCCTTGGAAATTTACCCCTGTAAAATTCTCACACATTTTAGGCACTGCTGCTTCTCTGTGGAATGTGGTATACTACAGTGTGAAAACACATGCCATTTATTCTTCACAGCTCTCAAACTTGCTGGAATTTTGGCTCTAGTGGCAGCTCTAAGATGTAGCACTATTTCTGCCACTTTTTTTGTTGTTTTGGAGTATTTTCTTTTTTTTCAATTCCAAGGACCCTATTCACTTGCAGGGCCAGCCACTGTTATTTGATGCTGGGTTTCCTCTATGGGAAGAGCAAAGGTTTGATGATGCTAGCCAGGCCAGAACAGTTCCTGTTAGCTGTACAATCAATATCACATTTGTTTCTCTGTTGGGTATCTATATGCCATGACTATTGGTCCTATAACTTTATTATTCAGTGGTCTTGTGTACCTCAGAGCCTGTTGGTTGGCTATAATTTGACATTTTTTCAGATGCCTGCTTTGTGCCATGAGACTAATTTGCTGACTGCCATTTGCAGGTTTTTAAGTTTTGGCTTTTTTAGAAATGTGTTTGTTGTGTGAAAACAGATTTTAAGACTTGCTTTTCATTCAAGGTAGTACTTATTTACTGTATCCCTTTAATGGTGATGGAACTGTTGCAGAGACATTTAATGTGACACAAATAAAGTGGTTTTCATAATTTTGGTTTTAAAAATATATCTGTTGGGAGTTGAGTATGAGAACTTACAGTAATTAGGCTAACTAGTTAGTGTCTACCTTCTATTCTGAATTCCATTCTATTTTCAGCTTACAGAGCCCTTTGAGAATTTGATGAAAACCACGGACAGTCTTCCTAGGAAAAGGCACATAAACACAAATGCTTGCATTTAAAAAACCTCTGCCTTATTCTAAGACTTCTTAAACAGGAACAATTTAATCTTTAGTCAGCTAATCTCATACTTGCAGCAGTTTACAAGTGCAGGCATTGTGTGTATGAGTACAATGCAGCCCACAAAATAGAAAAGTCTTGGTGTGCAGTGCATCAATTACTTGGGTAGATTTTCTGTAATTACCCCCATCTGAGTCAATTAGTATTCTACCCTTTAGAGATGGATAGTGCCAAGAGTCATTTGAAAATTTTGTGTGTGGGGAATGAAAGATGCAAAAATTTGCCCCAATGTAAAACACAGAAGATCTCATATTACAAGTGTTCTGGGAATATACCGCGCTTTGAGTAGGGGCGTGGGGCATGCAGCAGTGGCTTCCCTGGGGATGGGGGATAAATTGGCTCAACACTCAAAGTCCTTTATCCTGAGAGGTGAGAATTGACACGGACAAAGAGGCTTTGAAATGCACCTTCCTTTCACAGCAACTTTGACTTGCCCAAGGGCCCCTCGATATCACTTCCTTTGGAATGGAAGAGGGAGCAGGAGAAGGAGCAGGGGCCAGCACAGTGGCTTACAGAAAAAGTTTGGGTAACATCTGCATTTAAATTTCCCTCTAGATCATTGTAATCTATGAAAAAAGATAAATTATTTTAAAGAGTTAAAATACTTCGAGGTTATGTGGTAAAAACCACCTTTCTCTCCATACCAATTCAACAATTTGATAACTTTGAACACTGAAGGTAAAGTGAAGACATGGAGCTGCTCAGTTCTCACGGATGTCCCACCTACAAGGGGCACCAGTGTGGAAAGCCTAGGCTTCCTGTGCTAATAAGGTTCATTGGGTTCCCCTGAGATTTGTGCTTTGCAGGACAGGGGAGCAGGAGACTGAGATTGTGTTAAGTCAGTGGTGCCTCCCAAGTGTCAAGCAATGCAGGTTGGGAACTGGGTTCAGTAACTTCTTTCAAATCAAAGAAGAAATGTTGATGTTTACCCTCTGTGTTTAGGTGGCAAGTGACAGTGGTACTAGAATTGTATGGAAAGCAGGTGGCTTTGCCCATCACATTTTCAGAACTGATCACCTTTTAATTTGCTCTGAAAAGGGCTGGGTATAGGAAAAACTGGGTGAAATGATACCTTTCTGTCCACACTTGATGCCATGCTGCAGTCACCTTTCCCTACAGTGTCTGAGGGCCACACACTAAGTAAAAGATGGAATTAAAAGATAATACAATCTTTCCATGAACTTTTTGAAGAACCCCCATACAAGAGGGTTCTCCATACAGATTGTGGGTTTCTAGATTTCAGAAGTAATTCTGTACAAAGTTAAATAAGTAGAATATAAAATAAAACTTAGAATAAAAAGCCCTCCAAAATATTTTTAAAGTAATTTTGTTCTTTGGACGACTAAGCATACCAATGAATTGCTTTGTATTATGATACAGTACAACAGAAGTCTGGCTAATTTTGTTTTTTAATGAGAAACATCTGAGTTGTACATCTCACAAACAGCTTCAAGTTTCTGTACCAACCCCCCATGGCTAAACAGTTACACAAAACCTGAAGTGTCACTTTCAATGTGAAAAGTCTTAGAAAATCAACTTACAAAAACATCCCTATCAAGTCTGTAGTTTGGCATTTACTGTACATTAGTCAAAAGCTCAAGCTAAAATCTGATTTTTTAAAAAAGTCAAAGTTTACAGTATTGATACAGATTCAGCATTGTTAAAAAATATGCACAAATGGGCTGGCCCGTGGCTCACTCAGGAGAGTGTGGTGCTGATAACACCAAGGCCCCGGGTTCAGATCCCATATAGAGATGGCCAGCTGGCTCACTGGGTGAGCGTGGTGCTGACAACACCAAGTCAAGGTTTAAGATCTCCTTACCGGCCATCTTTTTTTTAAAAAAAAATATGCACAAATAATCACATCCATGCAATATAATTTCTTTAAAAATTTTAAAGCAATATAAAAGAGCAGACCTAGGTACTAAACAGAACATTTTGGTTTATAACCTATAGCTCAAAATTGCTAGCTGATTGGAGTAAAATTGATTCTAAATATTTTAAAGATGATTGTTTCAATCAGCTAAGGGTGCATTGAATTTCTGAACCATTTCTAAGGCGAATCTGGTTGCTTGTTTCTATAATATAAATTATGTGATGAACACCAGTGTTCATTGACCATATTAGCTACATTATAATAATGCTGTTTTACAAATAAATCAGAATTCACAAAGTGCTTGGATCTTCAGGAAACTGCCATTTCCAGAGATCCCAAAACCAGTCAACTAGTTTTGCCAAAATGCCTGGGGCAACTGCTGCCCAGGTTCTCTGCTCTAGGGAAGAAATTCATTTGAAAACTGCCCTGGACCCCAGAGAGCCCACTCTGGACAAACCCAGAGGGAGGTGTCTGCAGCAGGTCCCTGGACATTGCCAATGCTAAGTCACTCAGATTGGTCTAGGGCACTCGTGGTAAACAGGCTGGTGGTGTGGCGCTGTGGGCCGGTGAGCCCTCTATGTGGGGGGTGGCCCGTTGGTGTACCTCAGCATGGGGTAGAAGGACCGGGCAAAGTTGTTGGCCTGTGTGCAGCTGTAATCTTCTTCAGAGGAGGGCAGCAGGCAGGCCAGGAACAGGAGCAGCAGGAGGAGCAGCTGCAGGGGCAGTGCCGCCCTGATCACCCGGGAGAGGAAGGAGCGCTGTGGCCGTGAGCCACTAGGACCAGCGATGCCGGGCACCCTGCCAACAGAGGAGGTTGAGCACTGGTCAGGAGGTTCCAGAGGCAAAACCCACTCATGTTACCTGACCCCCTGCTTACGTAAAGTAAGAAACCCAGGACCTGAGGTTAAAATGTGGCCAACAGCTGGAGTTCAGTTTTAGAAGAGATGCCAGCCCTTTCCGGACAAAAGAAAACCAGATTTTTATAAGGACCTTGATATTGGCATTGGCAAGAGTGTGAGAGTGTGGAACAGGAGAGGGCACTCACTGCTGTGACTCTAATGCCCCGTTACCTTCTGTCTGTCTCAATCTCGCCTTTTGTCGTTCTCTCCGCTCCAAACTGCTGCATTAAAAAAATCCAATTAGTAAATTGAAGACAGTTTACCTATCAATGACAAAATGTCCTTTCTTAAGTTATATACATTCCTTAGGTCATCTTTCTGCCAAACTTTTGAGACTAGAGTAACACATTTGAGATTAAACTCTATGAGATTGGAAATAACTGGGTTTGTTAAACTATCCAGAGTTTCACAGTGCAGTTTGTTCATCTGTTTTTAATGGACAAATCAGGAAATCCCTTCAACAACTGCTGCAAGGGCTTTCATTTTTCACAACCTTCTACAATTCCAAAGAAGAGTAACTGACAAGAGGGCCTTTGAGTTAGGTCTTAGAAAGTGTATTTTACTTTTTTTTTTTAATCTTTGGAGTAAGCCTCTTCGTTGATCAGCAGGTTAAAGCAGTTCTGTGCTGTCACGAAATATCTAATAGGACTTTGAAGTCCCAAGTTCCTGTTATCTCAGTAACTTAAAAAATAACCAGTGAGGTTTTCAGAAGGAAGGGCCTCTTACCTTCACTAGGGGAGGTGGCACGGACGCGGCCTGAGGCTGGTCCCCAGCATCTACCTCATCAAAGTCACGCAGAGATGGGTCGGGGTTCTGAAATTCAGACCCCAATGGTTCAGTTGAAGGAAACAGAAGGTTCTGAATGGTTTCAAGAGCACAGAAATGTGCTTCATGCATATTCCTCATGGTGCAGCTCATTCCTTCCCCTAGCTTAGGTTTTTCTTAAAGACAGGAGGCTCTTTTATTGCTCTTAGCCCCTACTTTATCAGAGTCTTTTTCAGACAAAAGGGAAAAAAGCCAAGTCAAAGCCACCCATTTGCATTAAAAGCCCATAGCACACAACAGGGGAGACTGAGTTTAGCAGCAGCAAGACGGAACAGCAACAGTTTCGGGTGACAGTAAGCTCACCACAGGTCATAGACGCAACTCTGTGGCCATCAAGACAACCTGGGCTTGGGTGCATAGGAGGAAATACACAGACTCTAGAAGGGAGGGGACAGACTGCCCTAAGTTAGGTAAGGTGGTTTGGGTATTCATTTATTCTGAGTTGAATCATATTTTAAAAAGAAAGTAGGAGCTTCCAGGTTGTAGAATACATGGAGGATCTGGGAGGGTGGCACACACAGAGAGGGCATGGAAGCTTCTCACCCCCACCTCCATACCTTCCCCCATCCATCTCTTCATCTGACTGTTCATCTATATCCTTTGTAATATCCTTTATAATAACCTGGTAATCATGTTTCCCTGAGTTCTGTGAATCATCCCAGAAAATTAATCAAACCCAAGGAGGTAGTTTATGGGAACCCCAATTTATAGCCAGTCGGTCCAAAGTATAGTTGACAACCTACTACTTGAGATTGGTGTTGGAAGTGGGGAGCAGTCTTGTAGGATTGAGCCGATAATCTGTGGGATCTGACCTTATCTTCAGGTAGGTAGCGTTAGAACTGAATTGAATTGTAGGACACCCAGTTGGTGTCCACTGGAGAATTGCTTGGTGTGTGTAAATACCTTTACACATCTGGTCACAGAAGTGTTCTGTGTTAAGTGTGTGAGTAGAGAGGGGAAAAAACAGGTTTTTCTTCTTTCACGTAGTATAGGCAAGGATGTGGAGTAATTGGAACCTTCATACATTGCTGTTGGGAATGCAAAATCATGCGGCCGCTGTGGAGAGCAGTTTGGTGATTGCACAAAATGTTAGAGTTACTGTATGACCCAGCAGTTTCTACGTATATACCCAGGAGAAATTAAAACGTATATCCACACACAAAAAAAAAGAGAGAGAGAAGAAAGTAGACCATGAGAGAGTCAAAAGAGAGTGACCAGGACAGTGAAGAGGACTTGAAATGTGTCAAGTCAGAAAGTGAAGACTTGAGTCTGACATGAAGGCAAGGCAGAAGTGACAGCCGGATTAGACTTGTTTTTTATAATCCCAGGCATACTAATAGGTAGGTACTATTATCTACCTTTTACAAATACGAAAACACAGTCAAAGAGCTTTGCGACTTTTTAAGGCCACACACCTAGAAAGGGCCATGACCTGAGTCCTCACTCAGACCACCTGCCACTCACTCGCTTATCCTTCCCACAACAAGGCTGCGACGCTCTTTCCTGATTACTTCTAATTTAAAGGCCACAAGTGGACTCACCTGGCTTCTCTGCAAGGATATTAAATCTTGGGACACTTGCTCAAGTAACTGTTTCAGTTTCTTCTCAATAACATGGACCTTCTCTTCAGCCTCAATATAGTCTTCTCCGTGCCCCTTAATAAGAAGACTGTTTGAAATTTCCTGTAAGGAGTTTACTTGAGGTTGACGTTCCACTAGCTCCTTCTCCAGTTGCTGAAAATAAGTGGGAAACAGTTATTTCCCTTGTCAGAAGGGAAACTAGTGTGGCCAAATGGGGCTTTCTCGGTACTAGGAAAGTTCCAGGATGAATGATGGGGTGAGGCTCAACTCCAGAACTTTCTACTTCTCATATTTGCCTGTGTCCTCCAGCCTAGCCTTGTTTAGATAGTAAGTAGGTTACATCCTGCCCCTGGTTTTTATTCCTTTTCACTCTGAAGACAATTGTGATGGAGAAATTAAAGGAAAGAAGTGACTGGCAGGTGGTGGTGGGGTCTGGGAAGACCAGGCCCTCATCCGCTGCAACAGGAAGTCAAGGTAAAACCTGAAGTCGATAAATGGAGAAACAGCATCTTAAGCATACTATTGAGAAAGATGGAGGTGTGTAGCAGGGTAATTAGCTTGAATGGTTAAGAGTAGTTATCTTGCACACTATCCAGTACGGTAGCCACTAGATACCTGTAGCTACTATTTATAATTAAAAATTCACCTTTCAGCCACAATAGCCACATGTGGTAGTGGCTACCACACTAGACAGTGCAGATGTGGAATATTTCCATCACTGCAGGAAGTTCTATTGTGTACTGCTGCCCCAGACAGTGAGGCTTTACAAAGATTTTAGTACAAAAATGTTTTTTACAACAACAGCCAGCACTCTGATTACATTTAAAATTAAACCACATACAAATTTATGGATAAAAATGTCACCTTGAGTATAAGTTAAACTAAATAAAATCTCAGCTTGGTTCGTTAGTGAAATAAATATATGAAAACACAACTCTCCTCCAAGAAGCAAGGCTTTTCTCTGGTGGACAGAGAAAAACCTATATGGCTCATCATGGCTGCAGAGCAAATGAACACCATACAGTCCCCCAGTGAGCAGTATTCACAAAGGAAAAAATACTTCTATCAAATGTTGTTAAGGTTCTCAGGCTACTGCAAACACCTTTGTCCCCCATTCCTGAGTCTCAAAGACTTCTTCCTCTGGACCCTGGCTCTTTATCCCTGCAAGTCACTGTGCTTCAGAACTACAAAGGGTAGCTCAGGAGGGCTGAACTCAGGAGTCACAGACAGAAACAGGTGAGGCTGCCTGATACTCAACCTCCAGAGCTGCGAGAGGTCAAGGGTAGTGCAAAGGCCCCTGGGGAGAGACTTACCATTAGTTCTTTCTGACGCTCCAGGAGATCCTGGGGGTCTGCCTTTGAGTCGGTGACATGAGCCATCTGCCTCCGGTTCTCAGCACTTGCTAACCACAAGAGCAGATTTTGACTCAATCGGTGGAAGTCCTTAAAAAACAACACACATCAGCAGATGTAGAACCCTTTCTTAGAACTACGGAAGAGGAAGGCAGCTTGCTGTCTCTAAGAGCAGATTTTGACTCAATCGGTGGAAGTCCTTAAAAAACAACACATATCAGCAGATGTAGAACCCTTTCTTAGAACTACGGAAGAGGAAGGCAGCTTGCTGTCTCTAATCTATCACAGTCATTTGCTCGGCTTTGTCTTATCCAGTGAATAAAAGGGTCAGACCTAAATTATAGTGCCAGGGCCACCAAGCAAGGGAAAGAGAAAGCAGGGGAGGAGAACAAGGGCACTTAGCACAGTCCCAGGAGGCAATGAGTGAAGAGTAGGAACAAAAAGGTGAGGTGTCAGGATGCCCCAGCTGAGCGTATAGAAATATGAAGACCACACATGCTACGTGACAATTCCACTGGACTCAATGGCCAAGAGAGAAAACCCAACAGGATGGGCTGTGCTCACACACACCACCTCATTTAGTCCTCAAAAGAACCCTGTAAAGTAGGCACTAAAATGATTCCCATTTTTCAGATGAGAAAACTGAGGTCTAGGAGGTTCAGTGATTTGCCTAAAGTCACAGAGCTAGTAAGCTGTAGAGCTGGGTTAAACTGCTCCTATGTTCTAGGGCCAGGTCTCTTAATCACTCTAGCAAAAGGACAGACAGTCCTGCAGTGTTGGGGTGGCATTTCTGACCTACAGGTACGCCTGCTGGAACGCTTACTGCAGGTATGGGTGTGGGCCTGGGCAACAGAGAAAAGGTGAGGTGTCAGGATGCCCCAGCTGAGCGTATAGAAATATGAAGACCACACATGCTACGTGACAATTCCACTGGACTCAATGGCCAACAGAGAAAACCCAACAGGATGGGCTGTGCTCACACACACCACCTCATTTAGTCCTCAAAAGAACCCTGTAAAGTAGGCACTAAAATGATTCCCATTTTTCAGATGAGAAAACTGAGGTCTAGGAGGTTCAGTGATTTGCCTAAAGTCACAGAGCTAGTAAGCTGTAGAGCTGGGTTAAACTGCTCCTATGTTCTAGGGCCAGGTCTCTTAATCACTCTAGCAAAAGGACAGACAGTCCTGCAGTGTTGGGGTGGCATTTCTGACCTACAGGTACGCCTGCTGGAACGCTTACTGCAGGTATGGGTGTGGGCCTGGGCAACAGAGCAGGATCCTCAGGGCAAGCATTGGGTCTCTGAGATGGCAAGTGGGCCTCTTTGGAAACAAATGGAAAAGCACACGTTTTCTAACATGCCCAAGCAGACTGACGATGATAAAAATATCTGCCACTCCCACCCCATGGGCTGGCAGCAGCTCTGGGAGCTGGCTACTGAGTCAGCATACCTGGCACTGCATGAGCGACTGTCGCAGGCCCTCTCTCCAGCTGTCCACCGCGCACTGTGCCGCTTCCCAGCGCAGGCTCAACTGGTGAAGTCTACTTTGGAGCTCTGTGGACTCGGGGCTCTCGGTTTGCAGAAATTCCTTGCCGCTCACACTGACAGAGACCACTAACGCCTTGTAGGTGTCAAAGGCTTTTAATATCTCCTACCACAGAGGGAGAAGATCGGGTTAGGTGCTCTGAAAATGGTGAAGACGGCTCACTTAGAACCTCAGTAGGGAACGGGACTTACACACTTTTCCAAGTGGCGGCCATAGAAATGAGAGTGATCTTGCCTGTGACTGGCTCGGAGGCATCAGGTGAGGGAGCTGCCTTACAAGGTCAGTGAGCTTGGCAGACTGGCCAGCAGGGCCTAAGAGCAGAGCCTGCCCCCTGGGGGCCGACTTAACCCGAGGTATGAAGAGACCTCTACAGTCCCTGCTCTGCAATTGGCTTAATATTTCTGGACCAGATCAAAAGTCTTCCAGATAAAGTAGACATAATTATCCTGCATTTGCTCCTAGGTATCCCAGAAGTGTTATTCCTTAGGATGAATGATGTCCCCTGATATGAGGGTACTTCAAAAAGTTCATAGAAAAATAGAATTGAAAGGTAATATGAATCTTTCCATGAGTTTTGAAGGACCCTCATATTAATGCACAAAGTAAAATAAAAGTACAAATATAAAGAGTGACTGGATACTCCAAGACCCTTGCCATGGGTCTCAGGAGCTCGGGCTCATGCTAAGGGCACTCCCAAACTGCAGGGCTCAAACTGCCCCTCCCCTGCTCCCTGGGCTAGTTCCAGTGGGATCAGGGCCAATTATATGAGTGACAAATCCTAACTGCATAATAGGGTATCGTTAGATCATAGGATTCATCAGTAGGTGAGCTCGTACTCCCCAACCCAAAACCTTCCAAGGAAGACTCCACCACTAGCCCTGCCTGGAACTGTTGCATATAGTTTGGAAGGGTGGTTTTAAGCTGCTTGACAGTGGCCACCAGCGCCTCCACAAGAAACAAGAGGTGCTTTGAAAGTCAGGTCTTTCCAGCACTGGGGATCTGAGTCACACACCCCATGCCCATGCTGCTCTGGGCTTTGGGATCATTTGTAGACACTGTTCTGTGAAAACAAAAATCTGCATCTGTGTCCTTGCCAGTTACAGAAGTGAAATGGAAAAGACTGATCTCTACCCCACACCATCTGCAAGCTGTCCCCTATGCCTCTAAAATACACGATCCGTTCGTCCAGCCTAATAGTGCATTCACATTAATATTCTTTTTTTTTTTTTTTTTTTTTTT